AGTAAAATCTGTTAGAGATAGGAAGTTATTTGGGTATATGATAACACCAGTGCCACCCAACGACTGCTGAAGTTTACTATGTTGAACAAATGCTCTATTTAAGTTTTGCCACTCCGGCAACCTATTCAAAAATACAACGTAAAAATGCAGTTCAGTCTCTCGAGTTTAGCTAGCTGATGAATATTTCGCCCTTGCTTCCTGGTGGTCCTGGAGTAGGAGTCTTGTAGTACTTAAAGTCCCTTCTCTATTCTATATATAGGAGGAAGGACGATTAACCGAAATCGCAAAACTTAGACTCCATTACGCCTCCCGTACATCCTCTTCAGATATTTGCTACATTTGGTTGTCCTACGATCCCACAACTAGCTGCTGCTATCACTCGTGTTTTATTCTTAGAGTTGGACATGGAAGACCCATGTTGTAACTTTTGGTACATATTAGAATAAATACAGTGCAATTTCTCTGTCGTTATAGCAATGCGTCTGTATCAAGATATAGAACCCTATAAAATTAGCAGTCTCAGCCCAATTTGAGCCTACCCCGTTCCTTTGTTGATATTTGTATCGTGAACGCGGCTTTGCGTGTTTTCCGCACATTTGTCCCCTAGGGGATGCTGAACCCCCTTTCCGTGAACGCAGGGGGAGCACCTCGAAATAGTGATGAAATAGTCAACTGGGGCGACAATGGGAGGTCGAGCGAATGCGGCTTTGATGAAGACGACTGGCTCGCAAGGGACGAACGCGCCGTAGTCTCTGGAGTGATACGATGTTGTTCTCCTCGCATGTGAACAAGCAACTACGTAGGTCAACTTAGAAATAGATAATCATACGAAAACATTCAAATTTCTATGAAAAATGGCGCCAGGTATATTGACTCTGCACTTAGCAAACTTAACGACATATGACACATGATTAAATAAACAAACCAAAGCAATAGTAAGCAGCAGCAACAGTGGCGGCCGCAGTAGTAGACTCTTCGGTCTCCTGATCAGTCGCCGTGCGCTGTACGATTTTTTTACAAAAGGACACCGTTCACGTTTTTAAAACGCAGAATAGAAGTATTTCTGGGCCCAAAGCTCTTAGATGGACAGTCTATAAAAGACAAGGACAAACAAAGTTGACCATTCGTACCATACTGCAATGTAGTGCGAGTGTGATTTTTCTGAGCCATGGGAGTACATTTTGAAAATTATATTTTCTAAGAACTTTTTGACCACGTAGGGTAAACCTTCGAAACAATGTAATTAGTAGTGTTCTGAGCTCGTAAAATAAAGAGTATTAAAATTTTATTGACCATTTATAGAAGATCATTGCTCAATGTTCTTACGTCAGTGAGCAAATTGTCGATCCACTCGAAGTAACAAGTACATCTAAATAATCATATAATGTCTTAAGTTGAATACACCAAGGAATAGAGCAAGTATATGCGGTAACCTGCTTTTTCAACTATGACCAATTATACCTGATTTACAAAAAGTTATATGGAAAATACGAGAGCAATTTCAGTACATAAAAATATAACAAAGAAAGATTCTGTTTGATAAGGGCTTCTTCGAATTTTTCATTATGCTTGGTAGAAAGTTCCATCTCGATTAATATTCTTTTATAACATAAATACAGACGTATTGGGTTAATAGAATAATTTTCATTTCGAAAGCGGTGCGTTTGACTGAACAACTCCATGAAACAAGTTTTTTTGGCTTTAAGATCCTGATACTGCGTTACCAATATGATAAATAAAGCTTGTACATGTTAATGTGACTGTGGATAACGTATTTGCAAATATATTCGCATATTATCTAGAACCGTAATGTGAACTATCAAAGGCAGAAAAGTTTATGGATCACATCGTGGGAACGAAGTATTTTTCGACCTATGTGTGTATAATTTTTTCTATAATATGAAAAAATTTGTTTTTATCGTGCCGAATTAATCAACTTGCGTAACTATTTTGAAAATTAAATTAATTTACTGGACTTTTGTTGCCAAAAGAATACAGTAGTCTTTTTGAACAAATATACTTCCCATTCTTCATACTGTTCTTCTGGAAAAGTTAAGGTATGACCGTTATTCCGCAAAAGCACAAAATACCTTTTCCTGCGCAACACATTCTGAGGTAAAATTCATCTCAGGAAGAATTAGAAACATCACTAAAAATACTAGACACACCAACACTTGATAAATACATAGTTCTATCATAGATGGCCGGTTGTGGTAGATAACGATACGTTGCATAATAATTATACTTACTATAACTAGTACTACTCAAATTATGCAGAATAGAAAAATGATTAAGGCAAATGTGCAAAAGCGAGAAGATGATATGCTCATATTTAATGCAAAACTTCATAACCGGTCGTTTGACCTGTGATGGTATATTTAGCGTTTTAACGTATGGTCGGAAAAATCTAACGTGACATTTTATTTTCGGTGGTGGAACCAACATGGATCCCAACCCATTCACTGATAAAGAATGATCGATGTCGAAGCAGTGTTCAGCAGGACGATACATCTTGATCTGCCTTGAACCCTAGGGGGTAGTTGGTCATTCATACCCGCCAACATAAATAAAGTCTACGTAAAATTTAACAGTGGAGCATATAGCTACATACTATCAGCTTTTCGATGAGGGTCAAAAACTTCAGGGCATAATGGACACTTATATTACATTTTAGTAAAAAAAATATGGCAACTTTTGTGCTTTACTGACGTTTCAGGTGCTTATAAGGCTTCAGAGCCGTAGTCACGATATTTCGCCTGAAATGTTTAAAATTACAATTCATTGCTATTTTTCTTTTGAACGGTTTTGCCATATTTTCCATTTATCTTGATGTTCGATTTACAAAAAGCTTAGCTGTAACTCAAAAACCAGTCCTAGAAATCCTCATAAACCTTACATAAAAAAATGCTTGTTAAAAGGGGAATCAGAGAATGCAAAAATACACAGGGTATTCCATTTGAAATGTTTGAGTAACAGTTCATTTTGCGCTTTTGACTATCAACTATCCAAGGAACTGAAAAAGTAAATAAATTGGGAGAAAATGTGGAAAGCGAAAAATTTATTACACTGGCTATAAGAGTTGCAGTGGTGCGAGCTGTCAAAGTTGAATGTGTTTTTCGAGAGAAATTGCTTTGTTTGAAATGGCCTTTTCCAATCGTCAATATCTGAGCATTCTATCTAAGAAATGTATGTTAGGGACATCACGTAGTTATGAATTATCTTGTAGAGTCAGGTCTACAACTTTTGTATTCAACTTTTTTAGATAGCATGCGTAATAACAAAGATATTGACCGAGCCTATACCAAAAACTAACTCTATATATAGTTGTATATTCCAGAGCCTCACGGTATCTTGATGTACATGTCATATGAAATTTTTGCAGTCACAATGCAGGGACTTCCTGTCTAGAGACCTGGAGGCTATCACTGGTACAGTTTAGTGCTTTCTAACACAGTAGTGTACCTTGAATAACAAGAAGCACCCTAGCGCTCATCCAGTTTCGGTGGATGGCCGAGTTCTACAAAAGAGTCGTTCATTCCGGCTGGTCGGAGTCCAGATAACTCAGCACTTGATTTGGCATGAACGCATCTCGTCAGGAGCGGCATCTAGGTTATTTATTTAGGACTAAGAATTACTTTTCTCCACATGAACTCCTCACTCTGTACAAGGCCCAGATAAGACCTAGCTTCTAGTACTGCTCACATGTTTGGGGTGCTGCCGCCCCGACAACATTATCCATGCTCGATCCTGTTCAGAATAGGGCTGTCCGACTTATAGATGCCTTTTCTCTAACGGAGAGTCTCGAGATCCTTTCGCATCCACATGGCACTCTTCTACCATTACGCCAACCTGCCAGAACTGGTCGGTACGATCGCTTCTTTGTCCCTAGGGTATCAAGATATTGAAAAAATCTACTTGAGAAGGCTTCTTTTCCCAGTTCTACTAACCTTAGACAGTTCAAAACTCGGATTAACAATGTTCTCTAAGCTCCTCGTAGCAGCTGCGGTGCTCTAGTATTTAGACTTCTGCCAGCGCGGCTGCTTCGTTATAAAAAATCCTTTGCTAATTGTGTAAGACGTAAAAATAATGTGCAAATATCTCTGATATGAATAGAAATACTTCTCTTGAAATGAGATTTACTCTCCCCTACAGTACATTAATTCTGACTAACCATTCAAAGAGAAAAGATCTTGTTTTCCATTGTTCCAGGTGGAAAACACTCGCATTGCCAGGAAACAAACCCTGTAATCCTCTTTTCCAATTCAATTCAAAGGCACTCGGACATGATGTCATTCAGATGGTGAAAGAGAACAAGGTAAAAAATAGGTGGAGATATTTTTAAAGCATCGGAGTGGTGAGTGGCTTGTAAAACAGGCATGGAAATACTGGAAAACGGGTAAGTAACTGTGAAAAATGGGCTTACAATTGCGTACGGTGCTGAAGTATTATTTAAAGCTATTAACTTTCCTCTGCATTAATGAGTATTTCAACATTATTTAGTGCGAGAGCATAGAACAGCTGATTTGGAATAAATTCATAACTGCATGATCAAACGAACTTACCTCTAAGTGATGTTCGATCTTAATTATATGAAGTCCTCGTCGAATTAAATATTTAGAATACATATCGTAGTACCCTCGTAGTAGTACCCAACCGCCACGATTTCAAAGCGCGCACGCACCTTTCTACCCTCTGGCCGCCTATAAACCTTCATTTACTTCAAAGCCAAGTTGTTGCAACAATTGGGTGATACATAGATTAAGATCGAACATCACTTACAGGTATGTTCGTTTGATCATGTAATTATGTTCCGTCCTCGTCGAAGTAAATGTTTAGAATACAACTCGTAGATGTTCAAAGCTAGTTGCAACAGCATACTACGAGGGTGATTCAAATATGATCGAGACAAATGGTCTGACACTGTAGGGGGGTGTTCCAGTACCTCCCACCCCAATTTTGATATTGTATCGAGCGTGAAACGCGCAATATGAGGGCGCGCGTTATCCTGTACTTCTTGCTGGAATGCTCGTCCTTTTCGTGCGATAAGCCGGTTTCACGTCTGTTTTCAGAAGGTTAGAGTAGTATGCAGCATTGACGGACCGTTGGGTGCCCAGGAAGTCGCTGTACAGCAGGGTGAATGTTGTCTGGTGTGGGGCTGGTTCGCGGTCGACGATGATGCGGCTCATTCTCGACAGTTTCGCGACCATCCTTGAATACTTTGGCCCATTTAAACACAGCAGCCCTACTCAGGCACTCACTGATTTCGCAAACGCAGGAAAACTTCCGTGTTTTTAACGCCCTAACACACTAAAACACGAATGACAATACGTTGCGCAACGGTGGTTACCACTTGACCTTCACTCATGGTCGTTAGCACGCGCGTGAAACATGCGCTTCCGACAAACGCTGTGCTACACTGTTCGTAAGGGACCCAGCTATCACATACTCAAACCACGACGTTTAAGACATACATGCGCGCCATCTACAGCATTTGTCCCCATCATATCTGAACCGCCTTCGTACTAACGCTCTGCCATAGTAAACGATAGGTTGTACACCACTACACAAATTGTACGCAATGTATGTATCAACTACATGTACATTTCCATTGTAACAATTCAAGCTAAGGCTATTAGCAACAGGTAATAAGACGTACCTTGTTGAAAAATTAGCATCCATTTCATGGTAATGAGCAAATAACGTAAACGCACTCCAGCCCGCCGCGAGCCTGAGACTAATATAATTTAGCAGGCGGAGAGGTAGACGCATTTCATGTACTGTGGGTTGTCAATTGTGACACTCTCTGCTAAAACCGACTTCATACATCTGGGAGCAGAGGCACCATGATGAAGTTACTGTACAGTGACAAATAACTTTGGACAGATACTTGGGCGTAAAATACTGTAAAACTTAGGTGGTTGCCACATGAGTGACCCCGAGACTTTCAAAAACTGAGAAATCCAATTTCAGTATTATTCAACCTAATCCGGATGTTAGCTGTTTCAATTAGTTTGCACACTCTGACCTGAGGTTAGAGCTAGCAGTGTTGCTTATTTCCTCATCTAGATATCTACAGAGCTTACCAGCAACCCCTTTTGGTGATTGAGAACAACCAGAGTATCTATATTTCAGTTGAGATGGCCTCAGCCTGTAAATGCCTGTAAATGCCCAAAAAACATCTTATGTCTGCATCGTTATTAACATCTTGGGTAAAAGACTGATAGCTCAAACAATTATACCTTATCACCTGTAAGGTAAGAAATTTCAAGGTAGGAAACTAGACATGTTTTTCTTCCCGACAAAGGTCCTACCGTAATCTAAGCCCACAATATATGATGGATTATCGATGTTGATTTATTTTATAAAATTTTGGTGATCACAGTGTGACTCGCTGCTAACACGAATCTAACGACACTTCATATGACAAAATCTACTAAGCTGTTTGAACTGTAGCCGTAGTACAATTATAATGGTGACTTTTATACCGAAATTTCTCTCCCAGATACATATGTAATTGGCCACTATACGAGGACATTTGTTTGATTTGTTCCACCACCTCCTTCAAAGTTTTCTCGTCAAGATTTGGGCTGTTCACTGTCAGCATGACAAATTGCATGTCATGGGCGTGCGATTTGGGTTTACTTTTTGTTTGGTCTTCTATATATAAGATAGCAATGCCAGAAGATAGAAATACAATGTCTGCAGTCGATGTTAAATTTACTGGAGTATTGTGTAACTGAACGAAGACAACGGCCCTGTATCACCCAATTCATGTGTGTGCAAGAGCGGGTGGCAGCTGAGTCAAGGATCGGCATGCGCAGTATGTTAAGTAGTAGTGTAGTTGAGTTCCGCTTACGGTATAGTTATTCAATCTGATAACATATTTTGTATGACGTTGTGCCGACTATCTGAGGTAGTCGGGTAGTAGGACACACTAACAACATAGCTGTACAAACTCGGGACTACTCGAATTATTTTCCAGTCCTCGAGGACGTGTTCTCTTCTTTCTTCTATACTACAAGAGCTTTCGTTCTAATAACAATAAAATATTTATTGAACTGTTAAAAGGGTCGTGTTGACTTTGGAATTAATCGAAAGCTATCAACTTACAACACGTCAATCGCTATTCGAATGCTTTATACCCCGCTGATGAGTACATAGAAGGAACCGTAATGAGCAGGTTGCGTGATTCTAAAGGTGTCGGGGGGTTAATGTTGATCTATAGCCGTTTTCCATAGAGTACATAAAAGAAATCGATGAGGCGGTGCTTTGTGTCAATGTCGCCAGCGATGGTCATTAGAAGAAAAGCTTCTGATTTAATCTGCATAAACGGGTTTTATGGACTATTGTGCTACTCGGATACCGATTCATTGATTTATGTTACTGAATGAGAATATCAGGGGGTCAATTCTTCAGCGTAGTGGAATAGAATATTTCCTGGAGATTATCCCAAATTTTCGTCAGATTCTGACAAGGATGAAACTGAGGCTCACGACCTGACTTGACGAGTCACATCTCAGATCGGGCTCATATTTTTTTCTAGAGGTACCACTGTAGGTATGCAGCTTTGCATGATTTCAGGATTCTAGATTGAAGGCTACGGTCCAAAATCAATTTTTTCGTTTTCTCGCTTCTTCTGTCCCTGAAATGCTTTAGGCTCTGTTAGGCTCTCTAATATGTGATTATTTCGATGCAAAATTGTCACAATAACTCCAGATTGTGATGTGATCATTCGTTCGTCAGATCTTTCATTCAAAAGCGATTTTATCGGAATATTTCATTTTGGGCTGATAATTCGAATGGTTTCCGAAACAAAAAATCTACGAAATTATCTTTGTTTTATAAAGGAGAAGGTTCAACATATCCCCCTACATGAAGTGATTGGGTCGAATAGATCAATACTTTGTAAAAAATTGGTCATTTGCATGAAACGGGAGAGCGAATCATGGCTGTTTTATCTGGAGATGAGCTCAAAATTTGAAGGTTCGGAAAAAAATGATTCGGCATTTTTGACAGCCTTTACATATTTCCAGTTTGTATATTATGGGGCCTGATGCTTCCATGGGACAGGAGGAAAAATGTAAGTGTTGACAAAACGAGGAAATTAACATTTTTCCCAAAACTTCAAACCAATGACTCTGAAATTTCCAAAGTTCCATGTTTCCGTATTCACTCATCAGAAAAAAATGAGCACGTTCTGAGTTTTGACCTGCCGAGTCACGTCGTGGAACTTTACTTTTCACCAACGTCTGTTTTCTATGGTCACCATACCATCAAATGCTTTGTCAAAAGGTGACCTATTTTATATTGTCGTTTTCAGGAATTGAGCCCTGAGAAAACCATATTAGTTTGTTGCTACGTTTCACTACTATTTACAACCGTTTTCCATAGCAGAGGAATCGCAAAAGTGGAGTCTGAACTTCGACATGCTCTTTTCATACTGCAACGAGAATACGTACAGATGGCGTCATAATATATGTGTGTCAAAACAGAGATATTGTAATTTCTTCTTTTGGGCGTCACTCGTCCACTATAGCGACGTGACCGACGGGCATTAAGACTTCAGGATGCAACTTTTGAGGCATCCTCCTTTATGAACGCCAAATTATAGGACCTAAAGGCAGCGATACCCTCTAAGCTTATCAACACCAAGTAGCTAACATATATCCCCAATATTGTACTACCGATAGGGAACACTTAATGCTTGCGTTTAAAAAGGTTGTCCTTGAAGTACTGTAGTACCTAATTCAGTCGATATCATTACAGTATAATTATATTGACTGTCTTGAGTGATTTAGCAAGCGATTTCCATTTTCTCCAAACACTCGAAGGTGCAGTTGCAGTACATGAAGGTCAAACTTTTCTACAATTCATACATAAATACTAAAATTATAATTATCTATCCATAAAGTCTTGCTCTATTTCATGTGTTATGTAGTAGAGTACGGTACATCTTCTTCTCTTTTCCGTGACGCGTGCTTCAACCATTCCGTAAACGAATAGTGTGTGTGCCTCATTAACAACATTTTATTTTCCACACGAAACGCTGCGGGAAGGCATTAAAGGCCCTGCTGGAAATTACCAGAACGTCGAAGTCACGTCCTCGTCGAAATTAACTGGAATTGTTTTCGGTAAGGTGAGAAAAATCGCCCGGATCTTCGAAGGCGGCTCTGACGAAGTCATGAACTGCTTTGTTTTCCCTCACACCATCAGTAGCTCCTGCGTCAGAATTCGATTTAATTGTCGAGACGGGGTGAAAATGAATCGTTATTGTTATGCTGCACACTAATGTTGAATTCATGCTTTAGTGTTAGAGTAAGGTTCCAGGGCTGCCAGACGTATATTCTTTTTTGAAAGATTAAACATGGGACATTGAGTACCATCTATTATACCGGATGTTTCAAATTCGACCTCACCATTGGGATCTAGGAAGCGGTAAGAGATACGATGTTGCTTGTATGGGTACAAAGTTGCATATCTAGGTAATTTAGGTTTCAAAATTCAAAGATTTGTCCCAAAATGTATTTTTCTTTTTCCTGACTTTACTTGAGATAAGATTTTAAAGTAAATTAAATGTTGTGGTCGTCACTTTTTCGCCTCTACAAGATGGAATAGTAAATTCTTCAATTTGCCGTTTCTTCTTTCGACTTCCACCACCAACTTTGGTTTTTCATGTAGACGCTATAGTCAAGATCTTCTCCGTTATCTTGTAGACGAGGCCTGGCTCTTCTCTGTATATTGTTTACTGTTCGGTTTATTTCCCTTCTTCTCAGTCTTCTAAACACTGTTACAATGTTAAATTTGAGGCCTGGTCTGGTATACGAAACAAATGACTGTCTGATAATTTCAAGACCAACTTAGTAAATTCTGTTTTTCTGAAATCACTAAGGTCTGACAATCAGAATTATGAACTTTATTCACCTCTGTAAAAATCCAATATGGCGACTAGAAAACAAATTGATGCTGGAGGACAAGAGACGAAACGTCACATTAAAATTCTAATTATGCCGTTTTGTAAAGGAGAAAAAGTAACAACGTGAATGTGCAATTTATTTCAAAATTCCACTACAAATAAAGTCAGAAAGAAACTAAAAAGACTTTGGGAAACTTCGGTTTTTTGAATGTTGAATTTTTCTAGGCGGCATTTTGTTAGTTAACTGAATACGCAACTTTTCCTCCATTTAACGACTTCTTATCTCTTACCGTT